AATTGCTCAGAACGAACTCTTAAACCGGAATAATACTCTTTTTCCAGTCCCATCACAATTATCGACTAAAGATAGGAATAATGAGGAGCATGATCAATTGAAGCCTACACTTAAAGAGTATGGAATTCTGGAACAAGGAGTTGGAATAATTGACTAGGTTATCCCTCGGCAACGGCTACCCAGACGAAGTAATACAAATAAACCTACGAGCCGTGAAAAGCCGATGGCAGAACAGGGACTATGAAAGAACAGTAAGGACGGAGAAGGATTCACAAAAGTGGATATGCCTACCCTCATTCGAACTAACTCAAAAACTACGGCCAATACTAAGATATGGAATATTTGGGTGGTCAGGGGGGAAAAACAATGCTCTTCACAAGTCTACAGGAGCAAAATGAGACGGTAGACGGTAGGATTGTTTAGGAGTTTACTGCATATAAGGCGACACCTGCGAACATAAATTTATTGGCGAAACAAGGAGAAAAATTAGCATACGAATCAAGAAACATCAAAGGCTCTGTATGAGAATAGATAAGGAAAGATCAGAATTAGCGAAGCACATCGCAAGGACTTACCACGACATCAACTGCAAGGTAACTGAAAGAAGTGCTTTATGAGGAGTAAACACAAGGAAGCTGAAGATTAAGGGGGCCATTGATAAACTTGGGAAACAAATCTTATCTTTTATCTTATCTCAGAGCAACCCATAAGATATCATATCATCTTACATAATTTCTCCTTACTTGATAAAATCTCGTGTGATTTTCATGTCTTTAGCAAATTTAATATCATTTTAGCACATTCAAATTTTTTCTTGAATATTCTCATTTTAAATCAGCTCAGCTTATGTCATCTCATTCATCTCATATCATATCATACTATATCGTCTAAGCTTATTTAATTTAATCTAATCTCATATTACCACTTCCCCTTCAACCTTATTTTGTCCCAAATCAGCCTAACTAATATATTCTGATTTCAACTCAACTCTTAACTTTATATCTCAATTTGTGTCGCTTTATATCATCTAATTTCATTTCATCTAAACTATTTTCATTACATCCAATCTCATCACATCTAAATCTATCGCATTTTACCTCTTCACATCTCATCTTATCTTTTTTCATTTTTAATTATAACATTTTATATCAACTCAGGTACTTGGTTTTAAAATCTCTTTACAGCACAACTCATCAAATATCAACTCATCTCTCACCTTATCTCATCTGCTCTCCTTTGAACTCATATTATCTCATATTAACTTATCTAATTTTATCTCATATCGTATTAACTCAACGAATCTACATTTAGCTCATCTTGTCTCAACTTCTCTTTTTGTTTCATCTCTTCTACTATTATATCATCTCATGATATAAAATTTCATCTTATCTCATCTCATTACATTCTGACTCATCTTATCTACTCCCATCTAATTTTTTCGTACTACCTCTTATCTTCTCTATTTTCATCCAGTCTTTTTTCCAATGCTCTTATCTCATCTGATATCATCTCATCTCATCTCATCTTAACTAATTTAGTTTATAACGTCTGATCTCATCTAATCTAATCTCATTTCATATAATTTCATCTTATCTGATTTCCTCTCATCTTATTTTTCTCTATAAGTAGGGTTTCAAGATTACCAATAAATCAGTTATGTCAGATGTATTCACTTTATTTCGTTTAAGATGAAGAGGGGACTGGTAGTAGACCTTATATTACTATCGAATTTCACATAGCCCTGCTTTCCCGAAATGTGCTTACATTCAGGATGCATTGCAGTTTTGATCTCGCCTAGATCTTGTCAACAGCCCCAGTGGAACCCGAAGCATGACATTGCAACGCGTAATCTCGAAAAGTTAACCACTACACCACATTTCCACGAATGCCCTTGGGTTAAAGGGTAGATATGAATTTCAAGGAAGGCTAGGCATTTGCCCATATCACATTCTTTGGTGAGATTGTCGATAAACCAATCGTATATTTGCTATGACAATAGACGAAATTACATATATTTTGCTTATAAGTTGGGCTTTGAGACTACCAGCAGATCAGCTATGAAAAAACTCTACTTTTAAATGAAAAATAATTAATATATCCTACCATTATGAATAAGTAATATAGTATATTGTCATAAAAAATATACCATTGCTTTATTGACAATCCTACCAGAGAATGTGATATGGGCAAATGCCTAGCTTTCCTTGAAATTCACATCCACCCTGTAACCGAATGGCATTCGTGGAAATATGGCTTAGGGTTTAACTTTTCGAGATTACGCGTTGCAATGTCATGATTCGAATCCCGCTGAGGCTGTTGATAAGATCTAGGCGAGGTAGAAACTGCAGTCCACTCTAAGTGTGACCAACTTTTTGGCAGGGAAGGCTATGCGAAATTCAATGGAAACGTCAGTTCTACTCATATCATTGTGGTAACATTCATCTAACACTCCTTCATCACATTAAATGGAATAGGGTAAATACATACTCTCAGCTTATCTCTTTTTCTCGTATTCATCACACCTTATCTCATCTTATCTCCTTTACTTCCTTTGGTTCTTTTTTCTTCTCTTCTTATCATATTTTCCTTAAATTTCTTTGTTCTTATTTTCTTTTTTCTTATTTGTTTTATTATAACTCATTTTTGTAATTGAGTAGAGTTTCGAGACTACCAGTAAATCAGTAATATGAAAGATATTCACCCTATTTAGTTTAAGGTGATGAAATACTGGTAGTAGAATTATACCATAATGATATGATTCGAGTTGACTTTTGCATTGAATTTTACATTGCCTTGCTTTCCCAAAAGTTGTTCTCATCCAAACACCAGTCGACAGCTGTTTCAACCTCGCATCGGTCTTATCAACAGCCCCAGCGGGAATCAAACCGGGACAGTGCAGAATGGGAGCCTGATACGTTAGCCACTCGATGACATTGCCACGAGTGCCCTTGGGTCACAGGGCATAAGTTAATTTAAGGACGGTCAGGCCTTTTGACATATTATATTCTTTTGTGGAATCGCCGATGAAGTAAATGTATATTTGCTATAAAAATCGACTACGTTACTTATTTTCGCATTTGAGTAGAGTTTCGAGACGAGGGAAAGCAAGGCAATCTGAAATTCAATGGAAACGTCAGCTCTACTCAAATTATTTCGGGAAAATTCTACTACCAGTACTTCATCACCTTAAACTAAATAGGGTGAATACCTCTCATAATACAGATTTACTGGTAATCTCGAAACTCTACTCAAATACGAATATAAGTAACGTAGTCGATTGTTATAGCAAATATACGTTTGCTTCATCGGCAATCCCACCAAAGAATATGATATGGCAAAAGGACTGGCCTTCCTTGAAATTCACTTATGACCTGGTACCCAAGGGCACTTTTGGCAATGTCGTCGAGTGGCTAACGTTTTAAGCTTCTATTCTGCTCTGCCACGGTTTGACTCCCGCTGGAGGTGTTGATAAGACCGATGCGAGGTCGAAACTGCTGTCGACTGGTGTTTGGATGAGAACAACTTTTGGCAAAGCAAGGCAACGTGAAATTCAATGGAAAAGTCAGCTCTACTCATATCATTGTGGTAAAATTCTACTACCAGTCCTTCGTCACCTTAAACGAAATAGGGTGAATACCTCTTATACTTATTATAACTCATCTTACATACTATTTATTTCTCCTTATTTTATAGATTTTTTGTATCATATTTTATTTTCTCCGTTTTCAGTATCTTATTACAATCCTTATAAATTATTCTCATTTTTTAAATCCATATTTATCATAATTCTTCCTTCCTAATTTTCTCAGATTTGATATCATATCCATACATTTTATCTTGTCTCATCCATATTTTTTCTTATTTTATTTTCTTACCTTTCTTCTCTTATGTTATATTAACTTATTTCTTTTTTTTTCTCACTTTTTTCTCTTTTTCTCTTAACGTCTTTTCTCATCATATAAGCTCGTCTCGTCTAGACATAAATCTTCTCACATTTTCTCTTTTTTCTCATCCAATCTCATTTCATTTCATCCCATTACTTCTGTATTTTACTCTTTTATCTTCTTCTCTTTATCTTTTTCTAATCACCTCATATATATATAATCTTTAATGACCTTGTTTTCTTATTTCAAGTTTTTTTTTCTTTCTTTCTCATTTTTGAGTTCCTTAATTTTTACATTGTTCTGCATTGCCGAAACCAGAGTTCTAATTCATATTGTGAGCTTCTGTTGCCAAAACCCACAAAGACCGCTTTTCTTAACCCCTTCTATCATCTTACTATTTATGTCGTTGCTTCTGCTCCTCAATTCATAGCCTGCCATAGTTATAGATAGGAAGCTGGACACTTTGAAGTTTTCATTTTTACGCGGAGGCAGACTTGTCATTTCTAGGATTGATGGCTCGCCTTTCTTATAAAAAACATTTTTAGTTCAAAAGCATTTTTATAAAAAGAACGGTTTTAATTTCATTGCTTATATTCCCTGCCCTTGATTATCTCTAACATTTTCTCAAATTCTTCTGACCAACAAAACTGTCGCAAATCTTGCGCCAGCTTCCGGCAATAAAAAATGATATCCTATAAAATAAAAAAGATTTTTCAAAAGCGAGATACATTATTTCTTTTTTCTCAATTGTGATATATTTCCATTTACCCATTAAATTGCTAATACTGCTATTTATTAGACTTCAACCTCTAAACTTATTGATATTACTCATTCGAAATATTTGCGCGTACATTAAACCTTAATTATTTAAGCCCTTGATCTATCCGTATCTGTTTTCAAAATTACATCTCAACTTAGACGTATTAACACCACTTTTCTTTCTCCAGTTCCAATGCCGTAAAGTACAACGGGCAATTTAAATCTCCCAGCTTACCCAGATTTCATTCACGTTGCACTCTAACATGTACACATCTGCTTTCCCTTTTTCATCGTTCTCTCTCTTTTCTCATTATATTCCAAATTTCATCAAATTCATCAATCTCTGGTGATGGAATACTAAAGCTGTTTACAGCAGCATCCAAGAAGATTAACAACAAAAATGTATGCCGGCCGGCCAAGAGAAGCATTTATATATTCGGGCGGCCTGGAAAGATCACGAGTGTTCATTGAATTAGTTTTTCCTAGGCACACTTTAGCGGATGCTACGAAGCTGTGCTTCCTCTTAAAGGGAGGTGTTGATGCTGATGAAGGAGGAGGAGGAGGAGATTGTGAAAGTAGTGGAAGACGAGATAGAGGAATAGGAGAAGGAGGAGGAAAAGTAGTATAAGTAGAAAGAGAAGCAGGATGAGGAGTGGGAGGAGGGCAAGGAATAGAAAGATGATTATAAGACAGAGGCGGAGGAGGAAGGAGAGTGAGAGGATTAGAAAAAAGAGTGGAGCAAGGAAGAGGGGAATAAATGATGGGTGGGAGAGTGAAAAGGCGAAGAAGGATTGGAAGAGCAGGTGGAATTGGATGCAGCGAAGAAGAGGGAAGTAGGATGCTTATTCATGGCCATTATTTGGCGCATTTTATAACTGTCCAAATTTTCTGGTACATTCGCATTCTGCAGGTTCTATTGGCCAGACTGAAAGCTTCATTACATCACTAGACAAAGGGCAAAGTTGGTGCAAAAATTATTTCTGAACTTTTTTTATAAACACTCTTCGATGCCACGATAAGATTGCCCGAGTCGGATTTCTTAGCAGGCTTTCTAAATACATCAATAATCCATTAGAAATGAATGTAGTGACTAACACTCAGTACCTGCTACGGCCAATTTGCTGGCCGATAAGAATCAGCGAAATAAGCTTCAGATTATATTACTAAATTTCAATTATTATTCGTTTTATATGAAGTAAAATTGAGAGTATAGACTAGTTGATAAGGATAAAGTCGAACCTTTTTCCCATTGTAAACTTTGCTTCTTTGCCCTCTTTCTTTTTAAGTATAAGCACAATATTAATAATGAAGATGAATATTGAAGCTTTTCTCGGTTATATCCACATTTATAGAGAAATATGTAACTTTTCAAATTATGTGTTTACGTAAAAGGACAGGCCATCCAATTCGCCAAAGACCGGTAACACAAAAATACAAAGAAACAGTGGGGTTCAAAAATTCCTACCCTACTTGTAAATGTAAAATATGATGGCGTCTTCAGTACTACTCATCAGATTGTGTTAAAAATTTATTACCAGTCTATAAATCACCCTAAATGACCTAGTCTTGATCGTATTAATCCACTTTGCATGCATTCATATCACCCATCTTCAACCATAAATAACCAACCAAATAATGGTATGCCTCATTAGGATCGCAAATTTATCTATAAATAGATCTCTGTGCTATTTCAACCGGTCACATTTTCAACATATTTGCTCCTTTCTACCATAAATTATTGTTGCCTTATCTGATGATTTACTTCACTAAGGGACTGACGATCATCACAAATGCATCGAGGTCTCTAGACAGAGAGCCTGGAACTTATACACGAACTCCAAAATTTACGCTGCAAGGTGCAAAATCCTACAACTGAATTTGACTTTGAAGTGAAAGTCAAATCACACACGCGTACAGATGTTGCCTCTCTCTCTCTATCTATATATATATATATATCTTAACCTACGATTTTTCGTCTTTAATTGTAGATATATTTGTAATGTCAAACCTGGTAGTCTGCGTGATTCGAATTCAGTATGCTTAAGAAACTATAAATAGATCTTGAGGAAGAGCTTTTACCACCCTGAGTCACTTAAGGTTCTGAAGGACTGATGGCGAATATTTTCAGAATTAAATGTATAGGCCTGACTCTACAAATTAATTTCACTTGGCCTTCCTTCCATAAGGTACTCTTATCCGGAGTATATTGCAGTTTTGGCCTCGCCTTAGTCTCCTCTGCACTGTCAATAAGATGAAAACATTTCGTAGGCAATTTTAAGTGAAATTAAATGACATCGTTAGGCATACTCGTCTCATAGAGCTTAATAGGCTGACTCCTAGTCTTCTTGATTAAGAGTTAACTTGACATTTTTGGGATAATGATTTCCAACTCCAACATTCTTTATCATGTGGTATGATGGATAAAAGCTTAGATCTTTTTCTCCCAAACCGTAAAAGGATAAACTGAGAACTTCGTCAACTTGAGTGTAGAGGGCAATTTAGCTGATTGCGGGGCAACCAGAATCAACCTAAGTTTCCTTTTCACTAAACACTTTGACGTGAACGGAAAGTCCTCCCAGTAGGCATAAGTATTTTTATATAGTTAGTTTGGTTTCATCTTTAAATTTAATAAAAGGCGACGGCGAAGTTTCCAAGGAGCTCCGGGGACAACATTGTTGTGGCTGGAATTTGCCTGATGAAGAAATGCTTATGTTGCGCTCACCAGAATACTATAGTCTGCTATTCTACAGTCGTTTGGTTTTATTATGAGGCTCATTTTGATAAGGCCCTCTTTTTTATTCTCAGCATGGGAAGTATCTTTTTCATCTTTGAAGTTAAGTTTTAGAAGCAGGCACAAGTAGCTGTAGTGGGATCTTGTTCTGCTCTCATTTTGGCGAGGGATTTCAGAAGGGACTATTAGGATGGCCTAATGGAAAAGGTGATACTAACCGGTAAATGTTATACAATATATGATGGCTGCCTTATTATTTTCTTGCAAAGTAAGGAAAGAATAAAATTTGCCTCGGTCAAATGAAGATAAATATGAATTTAGCAAATAAATCAGAAAATAATAGTTGAATTCAATTATCAGTCCTCCATCATCTAAACCTTTTCACTACGAATATATAATAGGAGTTTATGGTTACTATGACATATGGTAAGTTGGGGAGGCCTGTTTATAGGAATTGAGCAGATGTTGGATATATCCTGGCATCTCTTTTTAACGAAATAGAATGTTGGAATGTTGAGATCAGTGACTAATAAGAGAAATAAGGCTTTTGATAGCAATCATTCGACTAGGGGGTTAGATAGGTTTAAAAGATAATTTCAGCCTGTAAAGAGTATCAATTTACTAAGGAATACATTTTTAGGTGGAGCTTTTTTGGTCATGAATGAGCAAGCAAAAAACTTTTCTCTACCTTCACATTGCCGTATTGCCTAATTTGTAGGAAGATAGGCGAATTGGTGAGTATGTTTGGGGCAAAATATTTTGCAAAGGTGTCCT